CGATTGATAGCCTGCTTGGGTTGTGGCCATGGCTTGCAAGCATCTGCTTGCTAAGGCTGTTGATTAGGCCGTCCTAACAAGAACCACATCCATATCCTGACGGAGTGAACCGAGCCAGCTTTTCGGCTGACCTCCTTCTCGACGTTTCCAATAAGGTAACTGTTTCGTGTGGAGGGCTGTGCCATTGAGCTCATAAGGTGGACGACGAAGAAGGTGTCCAGACCACCTCATTCGCCTTTCATGGATTGCCTGGGATATCCCAATGCGATGTCGTCGCAGCGAGTGTGGACTGCTTTATTCGAGACTAACTTAGTGTACTTCATTCGAAGGATGGTCATCAAGCAGTAGAGGGCAAACACTTCCAGTTTCCGTTCACCTTCCACGCGCATAGCCCAGCATTCACATCCATACAGAAGAACAGACCGTACAGATGTACGGTACACGCGGACCTTTGTGGAGATAGAAATATCGCGTCGGGTCCATAAGCATCATCGAAGACGGGAGAAAACTCGTCAGTCTGCGTCAATTGGGAAGCAATGTCATACTTACACCACCCATTCGGCAGCAACCTCTCGCCGGTCTACGGTCTACTTCATTAAGTTCACATCCACTTAACTGATGAGGTATCTCCACGAGGGGTGCAGGACGAAAATGCTTTGATCTTCCCAGTGTTTATGGACAAACCGACGAAGTTCGGGACCTCGTTCATCCGTGAACCCATAGACTGTAGATCGCCAAAGCTTGAAGCTAATATCATCGGCATAGTTGAGATCAGTCAACCGGCGTCAGTTTGCAAGCGCAAAACGACCAGTTTTCTGTAGGGCGTTTCCGAGGACAGAGTTAATGACGTAGTTAAAGGGGATGGGCGACAGGACACAGTCTTGTCCTACGCCAGATGGAATAGCGAAGGACTCTCAGGTTATTGTGGACTAGAAACCGCGCAGTGGTGGAGCAGTCTTATGCCTTCATCATGGCAAAAACTTTTGTGATATACCATCTAATGCCAGTATCCGCGTAGTTCAAGGCCTCCATCAAACATGTGCCTTGTCAATACATTCGTGTCGTAAGAAGACGCCTACGCGCGGCGTGAGCGCAACGCCGATCATTTAGGAGCGAACTAACCACATTCTCCCTTACATCACTAACGACCTTGTATGTAACAAGATAATGTACAGAGAGCCAGAGGCTTGCACGAGCGAGGTGCTTAAGAATGCTAAATACAACGACTACGCGTGCCACGCACGTCCTGCTTCTAGAGGTGGGTTAGAAAATTTAACAAGCGAGCCACTGAGCCTGACTCTCAGTCGTGATTGGGACAAGGGTATCCTGCCGAACCCCGTGATACATTCAAACCCGTCGAATTTTCATGTAGTGAGAAATGCGTAGATTTGACGATGAATTCCACAGAACCAGGCCAAGTCACTCCCTTTATCTGCCCTCTCCAATGCACCAGTCAATTGCGCGTCACAGGAAAATATTGGCAAACCCCGACCAGACAAAAAGACGACGCGAAAGCTTGAAGAAGAAAAAAAAAGAGGCTTACTTTTGTGCACAGTGTTGAAGTGCCTGTTCAGGGCTCTCTATCGTTTGAGCGACTGGCCGCAAATATCGCAATTTCCGCATATCTGAAACAAACGCAAAATAAACACACTAAAAGATTTCAGTGTACCAGAGACTGGGTTCACTTGCGTTCAAAAATTTGCTAATAATAGTAATAAATAGAGATGGTGTGTATAACTAACTAAACAGGACAGGGAACCAGGCACCACCCACAATGCATATGACTTTTCACCAAATTCCGGGGAAAGTGGGTTTAGAAAGGTGGGCGTTAGGCATACGTTTAGGGTTAGGTCCAAGAGTAGAATTAAGGTCAAGTTTGGGATCCGGATAGTGTAAGGGGTTATGTTTTAGGTGTTCGTTAACTGTACTGTCTAAGTCTACCTTAGGGATAGTTTAAGAAATACGACAGAGCCAGCACTACCTGTTAACCCACAGAAATTGCAAGCAACAGTCGGTTATGATGAGAGAATCATGCCACAAAACTTAGAAGTCCTCATTAAAATCCATTTTAATAGCCATAAAAACGTTGCACGCGGCACGCTGATATGTAAGAAATAACAGAAGAGTAGCGTGACAATTAGAATTGTCATTCTACAAATAAGGGGAAAAATGAGGCTGCCAGCTTGTACCACTTATAAAGAAAGCATCATATGTTATCAACTGCCAAAAAACGTTTCCGTCTTCCTTAAAATCCATCTAACGAGCACCACAAAAGTAGCATACAGCTACTGCAGCGAATAACACGACGGTTTGAATTTGATTCTATAGGTGATAGACAGGGGGGGATTGCGAATGAAACAAAACATGCATAGAAATGAATCTGTTCAAATCAGAAAAGGCGCACTTTTGTGGACATAATCGATATGCTTCTCCATTTCTCTCTTCCGCAAAAATGCACGGCCACAGACCTCACATTTGAACTCGCGTATTTCTGCAAAACAAAAAAACCAAAAAATTAATTCGTTCAAGGTTTTTCAATATGCACCTCCAAGGTTGCCTTCTGCGAAAATGCACGGCCACAGATATCACATTTGAAATCGCGTACTTCTGTAAAATGGGAAACGCAAAAATAGATTAATTCGTTTAAGGCTTTGCAAACTGACATGCATAAAAATGAATCCGTTCAAGTCAGAAAAGGCGCACTTTTGTGGACACTATCAATATGCGTCTTCAGGGTTGCCATCTGCGAAAATGCCCCACCCGCGCCTGGTACTGCTAACTAAGTCGAACGCCGAACCAAGGAACCAGTAAGGGTGAGACTGAGAGAAGACCGGTTGGCCAGAGAGAGGGGGAGTTTACTGCCACAAGCACGTTACAGCAAGCCAGAGCAAGTCAAGTCAGACAGAGGATGCACGTACTTTAAAGCGAACGCGAGAGACATCGTGCGACAATGGGCTAATCAGGATCAGAGGAAAATCGATAGTCACGTCGAGCTCTCATGGCAGCTGAGTAAGATGAGCTTGCAGGCCTTTCAGTGATAT